GTCTTCCATTCAGATCTGTATTAGAGCTCTTTGTGTTTGAATGAGAGCGTGGTAATGCCTGTGTCTTTGTCTTTGAGGGAAGAGTTAAGCCATGACTGAGCTGACCTGGATTTACATTGCTGGAGCAGAGCTATGCTGCCTAGGATCTGGACTGGCCCAAGATGATGCACAGCAGAAATGCCAAAACACAGACAGTTTTAAAATGGATCTGGGCTAATAATAATTGGCATAAAAAAAATCTTTTGCAAAAGTTTTCAATTTAGCTTTTTTCTTATTAACTCCCTAAACCATGCTAGATTAGGCTCATTGTTACAAATGCATCTTGTACTTAACAATCACTAATGAAGGGCTTTCTGACCTGACACTCCTATCTGCAAGACGACATTGCTTATCAGTGTCGTCCAAAATCGTTACAAACGCTTCAAAAATTATTTGCATACCATGGTGTCACCTGAAATGGTTAAGTTTCGTTATGCTTAGGTGCAAAAAACGGTGTGGTTATGTTCAGAGAAGGTTAGTGTTAGGCACAATGCCTGGTTAAGGGTGGGGAACAATCGTGGTCATGGTTAAAAAAAAAAAAAAAATTAATAATAATACTAATGCTGACAGTCGGTAGGAAACAGAAAATGTAATAGCTATCTGCCATGTCTGCCAGACTCATTCTTTGTAATAATCAAAGCTCCAATAAAGTGTTGGGACATGTGATTTTACTCTACAATTTGGAGCTATTTAAGGGAAAATTTGAAGACTTAATCAGAATGTTAACAACTTTTAACCCTTTCTCTGCATATTAAATTCAGCAGACTTCAGACTGTGAGGACATACATGTTTTATGTCTTAAACTTGTAATTCATCCTCCCCAAATTGCCTGTAATCTAAATAAATCTAGCAAAAGCAGACATGGAGTACAATAATCATAATGATACTGCACTGATAGCAATGGTGGACAGCAAAGAAACAAACCATAGTGAAATCATCTCATCATGGTTCAGTAATGAAAGTGGCCAAAGTGGTTCAAGCTCAAGAGAGCAGCAACAAAGCATCTGGCAAAAGCCTCTGTGGTAAACTCTTGTTTACTAAATACAAAGACTCCTATACATCCAGCCTCCTAACATATGTACACCAGACAAGCATGTACATTAACAAATGCACACTGAAGGTGCCGTGGATTTTTGTCACATATGAATGGTGACACACATCAAAGAAAAGAGTGGGCTGGATTTATACAAAACAACAGCAGCTAAATACAAAAACATGAAGAAAATGGGAATCAAGGGAGTGGGCGGGCAGATGGCTTCACTGGTGGCAGGAAAAAAATATGAGATTAGACAAAAACTATCTGGGGAGGTAGTGAGAAAGGGAAGGAAAGAAAACAGGGATGCTTCATGTTTCAAGTGAAAAAGGTGTGAAGACAAAAATACCGCTCCTGACATAGCTGGCAGTGCCCGCTGGTTTGTCCATAACGCCACGCCAGCCTCATGCAGCTGCTGCCTGCCTGCTCCGTTTTCAGCTAATAGCCAGGAGTAGCACTGTTAGCAAGACGACCCCCCTCCACCCACTTCAGATTCAATCCATGCCTGATGGAAAGCCTGACATGAATGAAAGAATAGTGTTACTCATATTGGGGAAGCTCAGCTAATCTTGCTAAAAGGAGGTGCTTAACATAAAACAAAATGGAGAGGAAGATTGTTGAGGGCCAGAGAGAGGGCAGCTGAGAGAGATTAGGAGTAGGTGGGTCTGAACAATGTGAGTCATAAAGGTCTAAGCAGGCTAAAAAAGGGGGAGGCATATTACAGAGCAAGTATGCCAGTAATTCCTGATGTCATCAAGATTCATGTAAGATTCGTGTTTTTTTCCCACATATATTTCTCATCTTTGCTTCAGGCAAAACAATAAGGATATCTTTAGAATAAAAACAGCTCTACACATGTTCTTTTACACACTGTAGAGCCTTGATTTAATATAAATACTGCCTAAGGCACTGCAGAATGCATGTTTGTCAGAACAGTGGTGGAAAAAAAGACCAAATCAAGACAAAGTAGAACATAGACTGGGCTGGGGAATTTTCTAGATTTGGCATCTGTGCAAAATGGAAAATATAAATATAAGCATGAGTCTAGCCGGCTATACACACACCATGTGACAGGGGTTTGTCACATTGGGCATTTCTGGGGGGGGGGGGGGGTGATGGGTGATGGGGGTGGTCAGAACAAATTCGGATGCAGTAGCTCATTAAGAAAGAGACAGTCCTCTACTGTATGTAATGTGGATGAGCCTCAACAGAGATGGCAAATCCTTAAGGCTCCGGTCGCCTTTTCTGCTCGGTGGCATTTTCAGCACCGAGGGCAGTGGACAGCTCCGCGCTGATGCGATATTAAAGCAGCCTCCCTCAGTGTTGTGAGGGGGTTTCAATGGAGAGTGCTTATTGAACACAGATGTATTTGTAAATCTATTCCAAGATGCCGATGATCCCGGTCTCGTGAAAGCATAGCATCGTGACCATGGCAACAAAGGAAGCAATAACTTATCTGAACCTGTCCTCGCGCAGATATTCTGGGTTTCAGCACCCACATTTGGCATGGGTTTCGCATGCCAGAGCATCCATTTCTCACCTTTCCTTACCTAAATGCAATAATAATAACAACAACAATTGCATTTTTAATTAGTAGCCAGAGGCGGCCAAGTTCACACAGCATTTCACTGCAGCCGACAATCAAGGCGGAGTCTGGTTGGAGCAATAGGGGTAATTAGGTTTCCCATACTGACTGTGCCTTGCAGACCGCATAGTTGGAATAGAAAACAGCCTATGTGGGAAATTTCTTCCCCGCTCATCTCCTGGTGCATGAGTCACTTACCATACCATCCACCCCAGGTGCAGCTGAGCACCATGGGTACCGTCAGAGCTTAACAATGAAAGCACAAAGTCATGCTGATGCGTGGGAACTGTCACTAAACGATGAAGCAATTTCTCACACTGCGAAAAACCTTTTCACTACAATATTCCCCTATGGGAGCTGCTAACAGAGCCAGACATAAAGTGGAGAGCAGCCGTGTCACTGGCTGGCTGCCTACCTGTCTCCAGGTGCAAAGAGATCCTCGCCTCGTTGATGTAAGGCGTGTCACTCTTGGACCGGACCCTTCGGATCGGTCTGCGGTCTACCTCCTCCTCCTCCGGGGCCGCCGCCATGTTCGGCCAGCCGGGCAGCGTCCACTGGCGACCGGCGGGACTGCGAGAGATTCGGCGCCGCAGCAGCCAGTCGTGCTCCCGCCCGGGCAGACGGTGTAGGAGGGGGGCGGGCTATTGTAATGGTGATGGCGGGTAGGGGGAGGGAGAGAGAGAGAGAGAGAGAGAGAATGGTAGGCTTGATGAGCTTCTGTTCCCTTCTTTTCCTGTAAGTCAGCTCCCCCTGCTCAAGACTCTATCTACACTCTGGCCAATGAAAAGCACCGGACCACATTCACATCATTTCAACTCTCCTGTGTGCAGGCTTTATCTACAGGACAGCTGACATGAAAGGTCATTTAATTACACACCAAATGAACAGACAATGAATTAACAACCATTTTGGTAGACTAATTGTTTCAAATGTCATTTATCAAGTAGAAAATGTCAAACAATCTCTGGTTACAGCTTCTCAAATTGTAGGATTTGTTTCAGTCTATTATTGCAACATAATAAGCAATTTAAAGAGGTCACACTGGGTTCTGGGAACTTGTGACCATGATTTGTAACAATTATTTGACACATTATAGGTGGAATAATTAACTGAATAATCAAAAACAGTTATCTACAGATAAATTGATAATGAAAACTATAACTTCTTGCATTGATATTGAAATGTCATTGGTGAGTTAAACACCCATAGTCATTATACAGAATCAAAACATGTACAGTTCGGACCCTCTTGGTCATATTTTGTATGACATTTCTGCTGGCCTGCTGATAGTAAATCTTGCAGGCATCTTTACACTGAGGTCAATGCCCCATTTTCTCTTACCTCTTTATGTTCCCCTTAATGCCAACAAAGCTCCTCTCCTAAACTATTGATAATATGTGACACCAAAAGCCAATAAGATTGTCTTTTAGCTTGACTACACGTGCAAGACTGGCCAACAGAAATGCATTCAGGGTGGGACAAAGAAAACAGAAGTGACAGAATTGACTCCAGCTACACAGGCTGCAGGGTCAACCACAAGAGACAGCAAAAGTTTTCTGTTCTAAATACAGGTTATAAAATTCTTAGCAAGAAAAACACGATACAAAATAAATGTATGTGGACACCTATTAGTTGCTGTTATAATCTACATAGCCTGCTAAACACTGCAACTGCCTTTTCTTTTAAAGAGCCTAATATATAATATAAATATTCCCTATAGCCTGCAGATACTCTACTGAAATAGCCCTTGAGTTTAGTACTGAAACAAAACGCAATGGAAATTGTAATGCTATAAATATCATGTGGACTAAAAGGTATATTATTCTTACCTGCTTTATTTGTTTGTGTGAACTGGCTGCTGTAACACAGCAATTTCCCACTGCAACTACTAAAATGATAAATCAGTCTTTCAATCAATCATTCTTTCTTTCTAGCTCAGATCATCTCAGATGAGGCTAAAGTAAAAATAATAATAAAATACCATCATATATTCTTGAGCTAACCTGTTTATTTTCCAATGCTGGCTTCTAGTGGAGAAAACTCAACAAAACTACTTTGAATTGGTTTCACAATTATTTGAGTAACAAAGCACCACTGAGCGACAGCAGATTAAAGTGTATTTGGGCTAATGTTTGTATTGGCAGCTATTGATCATAGTAGATAAAGCAGTCCATGTAGTAAATGAAAATATTGGTTACAAATAATTCTAAAGTACTATAAGATGTATTTTCTACCTCCAGTGTTACTTTGAAAGGAAACAATGAATACACCTACAGGAAAAAGACTCCTGTAGAACAAATGCTCCATCTGCTGGTCACATCTATTTTATGTGTTTTTTGAGGGGTTGTTATTTACCTCGCTGAAACTCTTGATAGGTTAATTTCCTGACAGCCACACCAATCCAGTAAAGTTGCTGAGCTGATGGATGAGAGAAAACACCGACTGAGTTCCTGGTTCCCTCAGCTGATGGTCCTGGCTTCGGTCCGACAGGTAGCTATTTAGCGTTAGCAAACCTCAGCTCTAATAAAAGGATCCAACTCATCCATGGAAATATACAACCATGAGCACAATAACCTCCCAACGCCGGGAGATGCCGGTGGCAATAGCCGTTTCCTTCGCTAGCTTGTTAGCGTGCTAACTTAACCTGCTAACAGGGTGTTAGCCTAGCTAGCTAGCATTACTTATTGCCTTATTTGAGGAATAATGCTTGTTATTTTGCAGAAAAACTTTAGCAATATTACTGTGTTACTGACAAAATAACACATAAATCCCCTGACTCATGTCACAATTAGCGAGGACAATTAAGTAGCACGTTAGCTTTGTGCTTGTTTATATTAACTCACATGACCTTTAAGCTTGATAAACCCACAATGACCTTCTTGAGAACACAACTGACCACGGGCTGTGCTTCTCACCTCGTCATTGCTTTGAGACTTTGGCAAACTGAAGCATCTGTGTTTGTGAAATATACATACTAGTTCTGAACTTTGAAGAAAACCCTTGGTGTGGCCATTTCACGACACTTACCTGAGTTTTGAAGGCATTTGCAGAATGACCAAACACTCACATTAGGGTGGAAGAACAGCTGCACAACAGTTTTTACTTTTCGCGTTTGCAAACTTTTTTATTTACCCAAACAAAGATGGCAGCCGGAAGTGACACATCTCCTTAAACCTCTTGTTAAAGTTTGGCTTGTATTTACTTGAAGAAAATAGTGTGTGTGTGTGGGCAAAAAGTCTCAACTTGTAAAATCAATGATTACGTGGAAGGAATAAGCTGAATTTAAAGTTGGTGGTGCTTCTTTTATGAATAGTGTCATATTTTTCTTCCCTAGTTGCCAAACCCTGATGATTGTGCGCCATTTCACCTGTAGAGGCATAATAAAGTCTCACCTGTATGCCCACCTGAAAAGGCCCTGGGGCAGCCAAGACATGGCCAGACCCAGTTCAGGTTCTGCTTCTGTTAAACCATCTCCCTGATGAGAAGCTCTTTTATTCTTATCCACCAATCCATGAGCTTCCATTGTTAACATTTTATGTTATGTATTTGTTGTTCTGGCCGTGTTTATGTTCAGACCTAGCAGCCTTCAGGGAGATTTTCTCCAAGGCCAAAGATGTAGTCATCATCACCGGAGCAGGGGTGAGTGCAGAGAGTGGAGTCCCCACCTTCAGAGGAGCAGGAGGCTACTGGAGAAAATGGGAAGCACAGGTATGCAACTTATTATATTATTGAACTGTACTGGATTATAAATAGAGGTGCGCTTGTTATTTAGCTTACCCTCACTGATTTAAATCCAGCTCCTCCGGTGGGATACCAAGGTGTTGGAGTATGTACTTATCAAGCATCTCAGAGTAACACCAAGAAGTGCGCTGAAAGTTTTACCATGATTAAAAATAGTCCTGAATCAGGACAACCAACATACCTTACTCTTTGGAAACTTTATTGCATTTCTGAATTGAGTTGAAACAACAAGTTCAACAACTTTGAAAAAGGAACTTTAGTGGTAATAGTTTTCTCAGGAACATTTAGAGTTAATAGCCATTTTTCATGTTTTCATCTTGTAGAAACTTGCTACCCCAGAGGCCTTCTCCAGAAATCCTTCCCGTGTTTGGGAGTTTTACCATTATCGCAGAGAGGTCATGCTCACAAAAAATCCCAACCCCGCCCACCTGGCCATTGCTGAGTGCGAGGAGCGACTGAGCAAACAGGGACGTAAGGTGACAGTCGTCACTCAAAATATCGACGAGCTCCACCGCCGCGCAGGATCCAAAAACATCCTGGAAATCCACGGCAAGTAGAAAACAGTGAAGACACCTAATGCCAGCATAGATAGAATAATTGCAGTTATCTGTTCATAACTATTCCACTAATAAATCTAAAAAACTGTTTTTATAATAGTCATTGTTAAAGAAATTTCTCAAGCAAAAATTCTCTACTTCCAGCTAATAAGTTGATTTGATTTGCTGATTTTCCTTGTTTAAACAAAATAGGAAATTTGACGTCATCACCTTGGATGTTTGTAAATTGGATGCGATGGACATTTTTCACTGTATTCTGACATTTTATAGGGTCTTAGAATTAATTGAGTAAATCATTCTTGATCCTTTTTATCTGTCCGTCTCTTTTGGGGTTACACCCGATTATTTTCGTGACTGATTGATCCACTAATACTTCTTCATTGGTTTAGTCCTTAAAATGTCATAAACTTTGAAATCAAGTTTTGTAAAATAATAAAGATATGCATAAATGCTGGTACTTACAAATGTTTGGCCATTTTCTACTTGATATATTACACAAAACAGTTAATCCATTGTTGAAATAGTCGCTGATCCATTTTCAGTCTTCCAGCTAATCGATCCAACTAATTGTTTCATCAATAATAATTTTGTCTCTTGTTAATCCAGGAAGTCTGTTTAAAACACGCTGTATGAGCTGCGGTCATGAAGCAGCAAATTACAAGAGCCCCATCTGTGCTGCTCTGGAGGGCAAAGGGTAAGAGCTTTGTCTGGTGTCGTTTGGTGAATTAGACTGTTTGGCTCAACAATATGAAAATTTGTTATAAGAGATATTGATCATATTCATTTGAGAACAGAATGCCGGCAGAATAAAACCTGTTGCAGTCTGTCAGACGGCAGGAGCTAAATAACACCTTATCAAAATTAAATGTCACTTTAAACGCCGCTTTGTCACGAATCTGACATTTAAAATTGATGTTTTTAATCACTGGAATGGACAGCTATACGAGACGGAAGTCCTGTGCTAAAGTTATAAATTAATACCAGAACTGATCATGTAATGTTAAAACTCATCTCTACTCACTCTGTTACAGTAATTTTGATTAGATTCTTGTCTTTTTTTTTGTCAACCTTCTGTTCTCCAGTCCAGAGTGTAAATATCTTTCTTTTAATAAAATTAAATTAAAAATCTTGAAGGAATACATTGGTACAGAAGATGAATGAATTCAATTAAATAAATAGGTAATTGATAGTATCAATTTGGATGTTCATTTTCAGGTGGGTCAGTGTTTCATGTTTATGGTATATTATAATAGTTGAGTTTTTTATTATGTAAAAAAATACAGACAAAAATGATTATGTCATAATGAAAATTGTTAATCATCTTACCTAAAATGCTCTGGTTTTACTCACTTTAATGTATCTGTGTGTCCAACGTGTAGCTGTTACATGAAGGAAAATATAAACATCAGTATGAAATGAGAAAAACTGGTTTAAAAAAACAAGTGAATTGGGGTGAAATTGCTCTTTTAAGTGACACCAAACTTTTATTTTAACAAATTCAGAGCTCCAGACCCCGACACAAATGACGCCCAGATCCCTGTTGAGCAGCTGCCCAGGTAAGACACACTCATGCTGTTTTAGTCCTCTGCTCTTTTCAAATGAGGTTATTTGTTCTGACAAAGTGTGTATGTGTGTTTCAGGTGTGAGCAGAATGGCTGTCACGGTCTCCTGAGACCAGCTGTGGTTTGGTTTGGAGAGACTCTGGACTCAGACATCCTCACCAGTGCAGAGAAAGTGTTGGACAGCTGTGACCTCTGCCTCGTGGTACGTATGTGTGTGTGCATCCTACTGCTGTACAGTACTACTGCCAAATTCACTAATGTACTTGCACTCATTAATAATTGTATAAATGTTTTATATTTTTAACTAAATAGTTGAAAACCCATACCTGTAGAGAGTACACATGCAGAGAAAGATAATTAGTAGGACTAGATAGACCAGAGAGTCTGTCTGAATGCTCAGCACAGTCAGAGAACACATGTAGAAGAAAAAAAACTAAAACATACTGCATTGTACTAATAACCAGGACTTTTATCTTTGATCTTAGGTCATCCTTTTAAAAGTTTCAATTAAAACCCCACTCTGCAGGTTGGCACTTCATCCGTTGTGTATCCAGCGGCCATGTTTGCTCCACAGGTGGCAGCCAGAGGAGTCCCTGTGGCCGAATTCAACATGGAAGATACACCAGCCACAATGCGCTTTAAGTATGTTTCTTTTACTGTCACACGTTCACACACGTGCATCGTTTTCACTCATTTATCCCACGTTACAGCGCAGACAACATTTCTCTGTGTGTTTCAGGTTCCACTTCCACGGCCCCTGTGGGACCTCGTTACCCCCCGCGCTGGCACGCCATGAGACTGAAGAAAATTAAAAATGAGTCCTGGACATCAGCTGATCGCAAACCGTACTGTCTTAACACTGGAGATCTTCATTGGTACAAATACCAAAAATAATGGGTTGAATATAGTGAGTACCAAACATGAACAGTCTGGAGATCATGAAAAATAAGGCCAACAAATTTAAAGACAAAAGGGAAACTGTTTGTTTAAGTTACACACATTTAAACATAATTGTTGAATTATGAAGTAACAGATGAGTCCCTTGTCATTTTATCAAGGGAAGCATTTCAATTTTTAACACTGAATATTGAACATTGTAGCAAATATTGCTGCAGTGCCAAATCACACCAGTGCTCTGTGCTGCCTGCAGCCAACACCACCAAATTGAAGTTATAATTGTGAAACTTGTGTTTCTATGAGTGCAACATTATAAAAAGTCATGTTGAAAAAGAGTGTGATGCAAATGAATAGCATTGACTACAGTTGAAAGCTGATCACATGTCAGTCTTTTTGCATTAGATGAATATTGAATGTCTGACAGTAGGGGGCAGTGTTTATCTGCTGCTGTGTCAGCCACTACATCTCCAGTTAGGAGAAAAAACTGACTCCTCCCAAAGGATCTGTGGGCTCTGCCTGGGATATGTGGAGTGTTTGTGTCAATTCAGTGTTGTCTGAATTTATGGACCGTGATGAATACTGTGTATGATGCCTTCTAGTGGCCATGAGTAAGCTCCAGTTAAACCAGGGAAACCAGTGACTGTGCAGTTCCTCTGCTAGATGAAATGTTTGTTACATGTATTTTAAGGTTTGGACATGATTAAAGATGCATTTTAAATGAAGTACACTGAAATAAATGCAAGCTCATAAAATGAAGAGTATCTCTGCAGTGCATCCTCAGAATGTGTGCGTGCATGTATCTTAAATACTGCATCATTTGCAAATGATGCAACTGTCTGAATCAGAAATGATCAGAAATTATTTCTGCAGCATGTGGTGGCGATGGTAGGAGAGTTTGTATTGTGTTGCACTGTATATGTTTTCAGTTCAAGGCAATGTTCTGCTTTAGCTAAATAGGGGATTGTGCCTGACCTGACCTGACACCCCCCAACCCCCCACTTCCATTGTCTCAACATAAACACACGCTGCACTTGCCAAATCCAGTTGTATGTTCATGTACAGTATGGTACTGTCTTTTATAGAGTGAATCCCTACCAGGTGTACTTGTACTCCTGGGGCCTTCCTCTGCAGTTAACACAGACTAAGTGGAAAGAGTAGAGAATAAAGATAAACTACCGCATTCTGCTGAAATAGAGCTACAAGTAGCTTCTTGAAACTTGGCCACACCTACTGAAAAAATTGTTATAACAATAATCATAAGGCGGTATGTACACTGAATAACTTATTGGTTGAAGTAATCATTCATACTGGCTGTGAAGAGATGTCAAAGTTCAGCTAAAGGTAATACAAGGCTTTGTTTGTGAAATCAAATGATCTTCCAAAGCTTCTGTGTTTTAGTGCAGTATTTCCTCTTTGTATTATTATCCCTTCATGTAGCATGGCAAGGAAACATTGTGCAAACAAAAAGGACATTTTACAGTAAGGGACTATACAGTAACTTTGGAAAACACCCATTTGATGTGACAAAAGCCTGTGTGAATGATTACAGCGATCATTAACTCTTTCAATGAGTCAGTCATTTCAGCAAGTTTCAGAACCCTCTACATCAGACTTAAACACAAGAGACCACTGTTTATTTCCAGTTTACTACCGACTGTCAAAGTTGTTTTTTTAAAACCATGACCACAATCACTCCCTTACCTGTTATTGTAACCATGACGGCGAAGGTCCTCTAACCTTAAAGACATTTTATCCCAAACCACAATCTTTCCTGAAACCTAACCAAACCTTAACCATAGTGTTGTCACATCAGAAAACACACTGATTTTTCAAGAGGATTTGGAGTTGTAGCACAGACAAAAGGTGTCCTCCTGCCGATAGGGAAGTCACATTAGATTTGTGTCACTTCAGCGGGCATGGACAAACTACGTATTTCATCCTTTTGGAGGACTTGTTATTCTCAATGTATCTGAGTATTGTTTTAATACAGACTAGGAAAAAATGCAAACCTTTAAGAACAATTTATAATGGTGTTAAATGTCATTTTAAAATCCAAACGAACACATTTGGAACTTGACTGTGTCAATGAAGTTACTTGATAGCTATCTGATAGCACTGATCTATATGTTCTCTGTTGTCATGTTCTGCTTTGGCTGAAGATAATATTGTTCCTGACACTTTTCTCCATGGCCACCCCCCAGATTTTCATCATCTCAGCATAAATATAGTATAAATATATCTACACACTGTGTGCAGGCCATATCGCTAAACCCTCATGTGTTGAAGTGGCTGATGTCAATTGAGGTTATTAATATTTGGCTAATCTGATGGTGATATTCATATTGGCACAAAATCTCATCACACCATCTCATCCCTTATTTTCTCCTTCTATTCCTTCATCTGCTTTCTCTCAGATACCTTTTGCAGTGCTGTTTTCCCTTTCCGCCCTAATCTGTACATCTGCCAAGTGTGTGGTGTTTGAGAGGCCATGCATCCCTCCCTCCCTCCCCAGCTACGCCTCCATCACCTGCTCATTAGGGAGAGGATGATGGTCCGACGGTCCCCCGTGACTCTGCTCCAAAAATAACAGAGCCAATTTCCCGCCTGTTAGGCGGCGATTTCACACCAATCTGAGTTGTACTGCCAGCTAGGCCTGTCAGAGAGAGGGTATGAGAGAGAGAAATAAAGTGGAAAAGAAAAGCGACGCAAGGAGAAGAAAAATGTAGGTCAGAGTGTAATGTGTCTGAAAATACAAGTTCTTTATCCTATAAACACCCGCCTTTATCAGTCAGCAGAGATGGAAAGTAACTAAGTACATTTTCTAGAGAATCTATTCATGTGCAACTGTAGCTATTTTGGGAGACTGATCACATTTTAAAGGAATAGACCTGCACATATTCCCCTGAAAAACTACAAACTGCATAGTTTTTATACTTCAGTTTTTGTACGAATTTAAACAAATGAAGTGTAATACGTCAGGCTAGCTGTTTTCTCCAGCTTCCGGTCTTCCTGCCATGCTAAGCTAACTGACAGCTGGCGTTTCATTTTTACTGTACAAACATCAGAGTGACCCCTCTAAAAATGTCAAACTATTCCTTTAATCTTGTGAGCCTGTCTCATACAGAAACCCTCTGGCAAGATCTAGTTTTTACTCCTTCATTAATTTAGTTAATATTGTGTGAATTTGGTGAATGACCCTAAATAAATGTGTGTGCGTTAATGATAATGTACCATGCCATTTACTAACTAGGTACAACATTAAAGACACTGCAACAGTAACACACATATATAGTAATAAATCCCAACCCACAACCCAATTGAAAAAGGACCTGTTCATAGTGGTCTCTTTAGATTAACATATATAATTTCATCACATCAAAAACTTGTCGAAGCAACGAGGGAACCAGTTTCCAGCTTTATACTCCAACCACACTTTGATAACATCTCTAACTACAAAATCCAGATGATGAAAGATGAGGAGACAACACTTGTTCTCCATAAAACCTGTTTTATGTCAGTGTCATTCTGATTATACTGTACTTAACTTAAAGGTCCCAAGAATTGGCATCACTACGCTCTTTGTGTAGTTTCTGTTGAAAAAGGAAAATGTGGTTGGGTATGAAACAGTGAGGAATCAGTCACCATCCCCAACACTACCAACCACCAACAGCACTGATTAGTTGGACTTCTTAGTCACACCTACCAGTGCAGCATGAGGTCTCCGCTTTTTAAGTAAAATTGTAAATGCAGGACATTTTTAAATAATCCTGATTCTCCTATCTGTAATATTTAGAAATCTCTGACTTTGCTGACTCGAACTGGTAGGGTGAAAAAGGACACTATGGCAGAGAGCACACTGTGCCACCCTGGGGACACCGAGGATGGAAGGCCTGAAACTAAAGACAACCTGGACCTGTTTTCACCAGGATTGTCTCATTTTTTAAAAAAAACACATACTTATGATACCAGAATCGTTTGAATGATTCTACAATAATAATTACATAAAAAATTGTCACATAGCAAAGGATCTGAATACTAGAAGAAGGCCAGAAGAAGTGTTGCAATTAAGAGACGAATTACAGCATCCTCTCCTCCTCAGCCAAGGCCAGCGCGAGGTTACGGAAAATGTCTCCGTCAATGTCACTGTGTCACCAGCAACCACGTCAGTATGGTTTACCCTCCCCCCAGCTACAGCCCCTCTCCACCAGTTTTATGAGCTGTGGGCCCACGTGTGACCTCTAATGGACAGGGGCTTGTGTTTGTCTGTTTGTCTGTGTGTCTGCGTGACTTGGAGGATGGAAGCAGGGTAGCTGATTTCCCAGAAGTTTGTCAGCTTTATTTTGTGCAAACATTTGAAAATATTTCACCAGAATGTTTGTTCAGAATTATCAGCTCTGGCCGCATGTTTGACTTTCTGTATTTCTGTAGCTGTTAGGGTCATTAAAAGGAGAGAAAATAAGATGCAAAGCAAGAGTGGATTATTAATACAGTCGTGGAAATTAGTATATATAGAGATATATTTAAAAGGCAAATGACTGCACAGAGCATTTTTGTCCTATTTTGATCATTGTAGATGTTCATAGTCCCACATCACCAAGGATGTAGCTTATACCAACACCTTGGGTTACCTAATGGACTGACTTTATTAAATGTACAGTATGTATGTGTGTGTGAATAATTTGTCTCCTCACAACTTGGGCGGCTGTGGCTGGTGCGTTAATCGGAAGGTCGGCGGTTCAATCCCCCGCTCCTCCAGGCTGCATGTCGAAGTATCCTTGGGCAAGATACTGAACCCCGAATTGCCTCTGGCGGCTGTTCCGCCAGTGTATGAATGTTAGTTTTTGTTTGAGCACTTAGGCTCAGTGAATGAATGTGTGTGAATGGTGAATGCAGATGTAGTGTAAAAGCGCTTTGAGTGGTCGAAAAGACTAGAAAGGCACTATACAAATACGGAGCATTTACAACTTCTCATTTAACCGGCAGAAATTTCAATTAGAGAGTCTTTCCCACCTTCTTTGCAAACAGGAGCACCATATTTTATTCATTCGTTTGGCAAACTGTGAGACTGAATTAACTTTGAGCCACAATTCCACAGACACCCACCCCTCCGTCCAACAACATACCTGCAACTCTCAGAGCTATCGATTTTTAATTCACACTCAGGAAAACGTATACTTTATTCATTCTGGAAAGCAAAAGACTGCAGCATGACTGTGTGGGATATACACAGCATGTATGTGTGTGTATTTTCTTAGTTTTCTCTTCTTGTGAGGACTTTGTGTCTGTACAGATAGGGAGTTTAAAGTTACAGGTTAGTGTAGCAGCATTGTAAGTATTCATATGCTCACATGTTTTAACTATATATAGATATATACAATATCTAACTATAGCATATTTGTGAGGACCTTCACTGATTTACTGCACTCCTAACCCTAACCTGAACAATCATTAACCCCTAAATAGCACTTTGAAGAGGTCAGGACTGGACAAAATGTCTTAATCTTTGAAAAATGTCCTTACCTTCCAAAAACGTCATTATGTTCCAGAAAATGAAAAGAAAAAGAAAAACCTCCTCTATCTGTAAAATGTTTTCATTTAGCAAATATGTCTTCACTTTCCAAAGGTGTCCTCATATCCACTAACCAAATTGGCCCTCATAAAGATAAAGGTTCAGCAGCGTATGCACACACACACACACACACACACACACACACTCTCAGATGGTGTTTACTGGCTTCACCATGGTAGAGTTGAGTGCTAA